TATATATATATATAAAAAATGGCCCGGAATGCGGCAAAAACGCAGCAAAACACACTGCACGTGCAGAAACTCATGCAGATCTGTTCTGGATTTTGTGTGAACAAGCCCTGAAGGGAACCAGTGATGTGGGAAACATAGATACTGCCACTACTGACGTCTCCATCTAAAAATGTTAGCCGACTGGCAGTTATGCTGATTTAGGGTCCTTTCAAACCACAGCACACAAAACAAACCACCACAATGCATTAAAAATCCATGCAGCTTTAACATGCATTTTCCTGCGTTTAGGTTATCGGATGTCATCAGCTGTCAAGACCTCTTTCCTGGGAAGGTCAAAATAATTTACTAGGGATGCACCGAAATTTCGGCTGGCGAAAAGGGCACTTTTGGCAAAATGCCGAAAGTCCCATCTGTCGGCCGAAATTGCAGTGAATGCCTGGTTTCTCTCCTCCCTACTGGGTGCTGCTCTGTGCCCCCTCTGACACAGCACAGCATCCAGAGGGGAGGAAAGACACTGTCAGAGACGGCCTAGCGGTGCGGGGAGGAGAGCGCTGTGAGAAGTGTGCAAAGTTTTTATAAAAAAAAAAATACAAATACAATATTTAATAAGGTTAGAAAAAAAAAATTAGTTCCGGTTTCGGGCCTGACTTTTTTTTTCTTCAGTTTAAAATGTTCATTTCGGTGCACCTCTAATAATTACCTTTTTTTTTTTTCTTCTTCCCTTCAAGGATAAGTGCACTATAAAACAAAGGCCCTTTAGGCCCCATTCACACTGAGCGGATTTCCGCGCAGACTTCCGCTCGAAAATCGCGCATATTGCGTGCGATATAGCGAGAACTCACTCGTCCAATGATTTTCAATGGAGCTGTTCTATTCTACAGCTCAATGTCGCCTGTCGCTCGAGCAGGAGCCTTTTTGCCGCGGCTGTCGCTCCATTTGCACGCAGCCCAATAGTGAAGGCCGTGCGATCGTCGCCCGAAAAGTCGCACTATATCGATCGCGCGGAAATCCGCTCCAGGTACATGTCTCTCAGTGTGAATGGGGCCTAAAGGGAGACAGAGGTAATTTAGCTAACAGTCAATGGGGATGTACTGCGCAGGTGCGGCTAGGAGAAGGAGACATCCGCTGACTTGAGGCCATTGGAACTCAGTAAGTATTCATCTGTGCTCAGGAAGGAAGCCGTAACATCACCCTAAAGAAGCCTAAGGGTTAGTTCACACCCTAAGCAGTTTGTTCCAGTCCGATTCTGGCCAGAACGCACTGCATAGCATTGCGGCCGACTCACTTTTTTGCCGGGCTGGAGGGGGCGTGCCAGGCCATTGAAGTGAATGGCACGGTAGCCACGCCCTGCAGCCGCAATGCAATCGCAAGGCACATTGTGCCTGCAGTGCGGTGCGATCAAAATAGTGCTTGCAGCACTTTGATCTACTACAGCAAAATATAGATCACTGCAAACGGTATAAATGAGCTCTCGTGTAACACTTGAATTAGGCTCCATTCACAAGGGAACAGTTGTCCCTACATATTCGGCTGTATGAATATGCGCGGAATTGCTCTAAACATAAAAAACAATGCACTTTAATGTGCATTGTTCAGACTATTTCGGGGATCGCACGGTACAAAACTGCTTGTCCCACAAAATAGTCCAAGCGCGATTTCAGGGGCGGAATCCATGCAGCTGTAAAGATTTTAGTGTCTTCATGCCGTGTGGTCTTCCGCAAGGAACACCGAGCGGGAAATGCAAATGCTATATGTGAATGGAGACTGGTGCAGGGCACACAACTTACAACCATCGCAAGACTTTTGGTTGTAAGGTACTTAAAAAAAACGTACGATCTGCCTATCTTGGACAGGCAGATCGTACTTGCGATGATCGCAAGCCACGCCCCACTGAGGGGCGGGCTTCCGATGACCGCAATGCCGAACGGGCCCCCCTAAGGGGCGGGCTTCCGATGACCGCAATGCCGAATGGGCAGTGTGCGATTGCACACACCAGCCCGTCCGGCTTTTATCTTACGAACATGCTACACACCCGCCGAACATCGTACGATGCTCAGCGGGTTTTCGAACATGTTCGTAAGTTAAAAGTCGTGCGACCTTACAGTAGTATAGGTCGCACGGCTTCCACACACCTTACGATAATCGTACGATCGCGGGATTTCCCGCGATTATCGTAAGGTGTGTGGGGACCTTTACTGGAACAAGTACATAGATCAGATGCTTGTTCCGGGTCTCTACTGGATACAAAGACATCATTTTAAGGGTTCGTTCACACTGGCCTACATGCTAGAACACTCAGCGTTAGTGAGCTGGCTAGTGTGTCCCGACAGATCCAGCAGACGAAAAAAAGATACCTTATCACACTCCTTACCGGCAAAAAAAACAAAATTGGATAGGATTGGGTGCTCGCAGTGACCACGGATGGCGCCGCCACTCAGTACAAATTGGATAGATGTCACCAGCACACCAACAATGTTGTAGTCCAAAAAGGTAATTTATTGGAAAATGATGTCACCAACACTAGCGCTTTTCGGGGCCACGCAGGATCCCCTTCATCAGGCTCAGCAATGACAGATCCAGCAGGACACAGGGTGGCGCGCCGTCTCAGTACATCACATTGTTTACTTTTTTTCTTGTAACTTTATTTTGAGTGTACAGACTGTACACTCTATTCAGGTCCCTGGCCAGCATGTCTGCAATATTTCACAGCATAGTGCACCATGCAGTACATACATATGTCGTGGTGTGAACAGAGCACATAGAAAATTATTGTTGTCTATAGCTGTGACTGGTGTTCTTCAGTTGATGAAAAAGGTCAGCGACCGCATATAGTGCAAACGAGCCCTCAGACAAAAGTCAGCGTTTGGAGCTCTCAGATCTCCTTGGCAGGTATCAAAGGAACATGTATCCTACCTCACCCATATCATCATCCACCACCACATCATTCTCTACATCATTACCTATACATACCTCCCAACTTTCTGAGAAGAAAAAGAGGGACACCTTCTAGCAAAACTGGAGCAACCAATCAGCTTCTAGCTTCAGTTTGTTCAGTTAAAGCAGAACTGCGGGCAAACCAAATCTTAACCCTTGCAGTGAGGCTGCCCCTACACTGCATTGGTAAGTGCTCGTTTTGTCTAGAGAGCTAAAATAACAAAAAGTTATATTCACCTGTGCCACAATCCTGACTGGCATCTGCATCGCACCCTCCAGCCTCACTCCCCTCCACTCCAGAGATGGTATGTCCCTCCAAGTCCTCATGTTCTATACCAGGGTTGGGCAAACTCCAGCTGTGGTGAAAATAGAAATCCCATGATGCATCTGTCTCTGATAGTCATGTCTGTGGCTGTTAGAATTTTGCAATGCCTCATGGGATTTGTAGTTCCACAACAGTTGGAGGGTCAGAATTTGCCCACCCCTGTTGTATACACTGTATGGAACATGATAACTCAGGGTCCTTAGACGGAGGGGAGGGGGAGCAAGGCTGGAGGGACTGGTCTAAGAGCAAGCTAGGATCATGGTTTGGGTGAGTATATCTGTTATTTTAGCTCCCTAGACAAAACACCACTGCAGAGGTTAAGATGTAGTCACCCAAAGTTCTGCTTTAAGTTTTGAAAATGAGAGATGGAAGCTAATTGGTTACTATGGGCAACTGCTCTGCTCCGATTTTGTTAAATTCCCCTCAATGTATTTTGGAAAGGGACACACCACCAGGTATGTGGACCATTAAGAAATTATACCTCAAATTAAATTAAACCCAGAATTGTTTTCTCTTCACCATTGCCTCTCCTTTATATTAACTTTTTGGAATACCTCCTAATTATCTTGTTTGATGAATAATAACACGTTTGTTAAATAGTACATTGAATAATACATTAGACAAATAAGAGGGACGACCTGAGGAGGAGAGAGGGGCAGATCTGGTTCCTAATGAGGGGCATTTGGGAGGCATTTCTTCTTCACCCAGAACATTACCCCCCATCATGGTCAGTCTGTAGAATGCAGTGGTCTGGACTGCACATACAACAACAGAAGCATTTCCACAATCAGAACATTCATAGGATTTCCCATCTGACAGATGAATGAACACAGAACGATCCCAGAAGATATCTGTGTCTGTTACACCAGCTATGGACAGGTTAAGCTGCTAAACTTGTTCTCTTTCAAGAACTGCAACATGAACCCAAAAGGTACCATCCATCCCAGCTGACCTCTGTACATCAAGCCCCCGATATTAGTGATCCGGTACAACTCGATAAGTTCGCACTTTCGACACATCACCGGCATGTATACAACCTTTATAGCAATCATCTCTCACCTGGCAGCTTCAGAGCTCTGGACAGCACCGTAGCCATACTAGACACAGGGAGGAGATGGAGGAGTGATGTCATAGTCATGTGACCGAGCAAGGTGGGCGGGGCCAATGCTAAACGCCTGTCATGCTTTGGAGAGGGGAGTCGGCTGTGTCTGTCATGTGGTGGTTGTTGTGACTCCATTCAGAGCTCTGGTGTGAGGAGATCACAGTTATCATACAATGACACACGCTCATCCAGCTGATCATGATTAACCTCTTCATTACTAGCACCTTACTGATTTCTCGTCATTGTTCACCTCATACCACACAGAGCTCACATTATTGTTCACATGATGCATGTTGCAATGTGAACAACCGCTACGATTTGCTGTTGAAATGCATTTCAGTGCTTGCATTTGTTTTAGGGCTGCAACTAAAAATTTTTTTTTTCATAATTGATTTGTTGGCCAATTATTTTTTCAATTAATTGGATAAACAAAAAAAATCCATCCTTGATTTAAAATAAAAAACAGAAATGGAGTGTTCCTAACCAAGGGCGTCCCAAGGCTGGGTGACACCCGGAGCGGTTACCGGGGGTCACCCCGCCGAGACGTCACCGTGCATGCCATGTCTAGGGTTTTCCCAGGACTAATTATTTTGTCAATAACTGTATTAGAGGAAGAAAGAACAAAGTGCTGTAACCATTTACAGAGTGCAATAGACCACAGAAACCAATTCGATTTCAGTTTAATATAGCCAGATCATTTTAGAGAGTTTGGAGTTGAAGCAGTAGTATATTTAGCATGTTGGACACCTAGGGCAGATTATTTTTAACACCCCTCCCACACACACGCTTCTCAACACAAAATGATTTTCGGTTGCAATCATTAGATCAAAAGTAAACAAAACAAAAATTTAGAGTTAAAGGAGAACTATAAGGTGAGTGCTTTTCCCTCACCCCGGGGTTCTAGCCGACCTGTGACAATGAGACTGTCACAGGTCGGCTCAGTAGATCGGGAGGTGAGCGAACACATACCGGCGTTCGCTCACCTCTCGATCCTGTCACGGCTCTCTGCCGTGACAGGGGAGGGGCTGGATTCCTCCCTCCCCGCTCCGATCCGCCAGCGCTGACTGGCGGAACGGACGGGGGAGGGGGCGGGTACAGCTGGCTCTGCCTCTAGATAGGCAGAGCCAGCTGTCAGTCATGCAGCTGGGTGGATCTAGACATAATTGTCGGGATCCGCTTCAGCTGCGGCATCTTAGTATGCTCGCGGTATACTGCGGCATCTCAGTGTACCGCAAGCTACAGCTCGCGGTATACTAAACCTAGGGTGATGGGAGGACGCTAGTTTGTGTCCTTCCGTTACCCTAAGGAGAACTACGGGGAAAAGCCTTAACCCCATAGTTCTCCTTTAAGATTTTCTTTATCTGAATGATGTATCTGTTAAGAAATTGGTTAAAAAAAAATGAAATTCAAGCAGGTAAAAGCGATGCTCATAGTGCGCTGTAATAAAGCATGGAGATAAATAAAATAAAATGTAAAGGTTAATAGTGGCTCAAGTAATATGCTTTGGGGCAACATGAGGATAATAGCACAGTGCTTTCATAGTGACAGGGATGCAATAATAGTAATATGGTCTGCTGAGATGACAATTAGGCATGAAACTCCCGCATAAAAATGATTTTGTTTCAGATTGATTTGGATTTTTATTTCTTTTGTTTTTCGGAGTTTAGATTCGAAATTCGATTGGGTTCGTTATTGGAATTTCGTATACGTTTGAATTTTCATTTGGGAAAGATCCACAACAGGAAGTCACATGACGGTGCCTGCAATGCAACCCCCAACAGACAAAAAAATCTTCTAATCTTCTGATTGGCCAGAGAACAGTCACATGTCCATTTAGTTTCGTTTTAAACTAACATCGGACAAATCCGAATTTTCATTAAAAAAACATCCAGGTTCGTTCGAATTTGGACACGTTCTAATTCAGAAATTCGGATGCATTCGAATGTCTGATTAAAGAAATTTGTACGAATATGCATTCACAACAAAACAAAATTTACATGTGTAGTGACCATACCTGAGCAAAGAAATAGCAATCCTTGCCATACATGGCCTAGAAATGTGCAATCATACAATACACAACAGTTAATTGTTACAATACGCAGACAGCAAATGGACAACCGTGATACCATGCATTCAAGAAATGGGCAATTGTGTCAACATGCAGGCAATGAACAGGCAATTGTGACCATATGTGAGCATGAATTGGGCAATGATGCCAGTATGTGGGCAATAGGCAATTGTGACAATATGTGGACAACAAATGGGCAAATGTAACAAACACATGGAGATAAATTTCTCCTTAAGGAAAAATGCCCATCTCATCCAACCTCCCTTCCCAACTTGAAGCAAAAATATTCTTCTCCCTATCAGCAAAAGTTACTCCTCTGTCAGCAAAAACGCCCTTTCTTCCTCAGCAACCCCCCCACCTCCCACAGATACCCTTGACCCTTCATTTAAGTTCACCAGACTTCCACCAGAACACTAGAGTGGTGCCCAAAGAATGAGGGGTGTCTTATAATGAGAAGCCTGGGAGTTCTCTCGGGTCACAGCTGTATCTGAGGTCCGACAGGATGGCCTGGCACATTGCCTCTATGCGGGCGCACCTGCAGAGTTGTGGGCAGTACGACCAGTGGCTTTCCAAGGACCCCTACGTAGCAGTAATATAGCTGGCTGTACCTGGAGCAGGCCAACCCCTTTCTCCAGGTAGGCCACTAAGTTTAAGGTTAAGTTTAACCCTAAGGCCCCGTTCCCACTGCGCGATATGCAAATCGCGCGTTTGTAGCGTTGCATTGAGCAAGCTTGAATCGCGGCTAAATCCGCTCCAAAAAGGGTCCTGCTGTAGCGACACACGTCCCGCGACAGCAGGACCCTTTGCCCCATTGGATTGCATTGGAGCGCGATATCGCGCGGTAATTTGCCGCGATATCGCGGGAATTACCGCGCGATAAATCGCTCAATGTGAACGGGGTCTTAATTGGGTAACTTAAGTTATTGAAGGTTCAAGCTTTTAGGACCTTGCTGAGGTTCCTTCCCCAGGCATTATACAATAACCTGACATTCCTTATTTAGGTCAATGACAAGTAGACATGTAAGCTGCGGGAAAAATTCAGTTCGGTTATTTCATTATTTCGGGGTTCGGGATCCGAAATTCAATTTGGTTTAGGTCTCGTATGCGAACGAAATCCGAATTTTCGTTACTTTCGAATGAGTTTACAAATATTCGTTGCGAATACCACAGAAAACCATATACAGATATTAATACTAAAGTTGAACCTCCTAGACCCGAATAACATTCGGGATCCAAGTTTTCCTGAAATGCCATTCGGGTGTGGGAGCCATATACATATATTATTATTATACAGGATTTATTTAGAGCAGTTTGCGCATCGCTTTACAATATAAGGAAGACATTACAATCACAATACGATTCAAGACAAGATGGTAAGGAGGGCCCTGCCCTTGAAGGCTTACAATCTAAAAGGGAGGGGGAAGTGATACATGAGGAGGAAGCTGTGTGGGGATGAATTGTTTGAGAACGTGATGGTTGAGCAGTTAGGCTGGGTTCACACCCAGGCGTATTGAATATGCGCGTTTGTCGCACGCTTCGTGCCGCGCGTTTGTCGAACGATTCGCGGTAAAAAACGCACAACAAACGTACGTTTCCGAGGGCTACTTGGCTGTATCCCAATGGAAACGCCCTAAAGAAGCTCCTGTACTTCTTTGGGCGTAGGACGTTTTGTAGCGCGTTCATACGGCCTGTAATACGCCCAGGTGTGAACCATACCCATAGGAAATAATGGGATTTCGGTGTTTGAGCGTTTTGCAGAGCCTTCGAACGGGCTACAAAACGCCCAGGTGTGAACCGGGCCTTAGGTTGAGGTGGGATAGGCTTCCCTGAAGAGATGAGTCTTAAGGGATCGCCTAAAGGCAGTCAGAGTGGGAGATAGTCGGACAGGTTGGGGTAAGAGACTCTAGCGAAGTTTTGGAGGTGAGGATAGGAGGAGTTGACGAGGGAGCTGGAAAGCAGAAGGTCTTTTGAAGAGCGGAGGGGACGGTTAGGGTGATACTTTGAGACAAGGTTTGAGATAAAGCCAGGGGCAGAGTTGTGTTATTACTAAGTTTAGTTTACAGAGTTTTGTTATTACAGAATTTAGTTATTACTAAAGCTGAGATATGAGGTTTGAGATATAGCCGGGGGCAGAGTTGCGTTATTACTAAGTTTAGTTTACAAAGTTTTGTTATTACAGAATTTAATTATTACTAAAGCTGAGGCTTCCACACTTGAATGACATTCAGGAGCTCCCGAATGCAATTCGGATCCCGAATTAGTATTATATGTATATACTGTATATGGCTCCCATGTTGCCGTAACGAAAACCCGTGCTCAAACCCATTCGGATGCATTAAACCGAAAAACCCATCTGATTGGCCAGAAAAGTCACATGTCTGATTCAGTTTAGTTTTTGAATGAAATTCGGACGGAATCCAAAATTCGGAAACAGGAATTCGGACACATTCATATGTATTGGGATTCGGAAAATTCAGATGGGTCCAAAATTTTGGAAAATTCTTACGAATTTTGATTCAGAACTCATCTAATTGCACATGTCTAATGACAAGGAGCTTTGTTGTTAACTAACTCAGGGGTTATGCCCAATATTACAGTTTCTTTTTTTCTTTTCTGCCATACATGCACAGTGATGAAGGGTAGAAAGATGAATGCCTCATATCTCCATCATCATTGTTGTTGCAAGTAAAATAAGGAAAATAGTTGAAGGTATAACATATTTTATTAGAGATGATGGAAGCAATCTAATATTGTATTAAATATCCATGGATTTTCATAGCATCTGACCTTTAAAACAGACCATTGCCTGTGTGTGATATTAGTACAATGTAGTTGAGTTTTGTTATCTTTTCTTTGTAAAGGAAAGGAAAGAAAAACAATGGGTTGGTTGTATTTCATAATTTCAGAATAATAATCTCATGCTTTGATGTCTGGAGGACTTTTTCCACCTCCTTCTGTAAAA